AGGAGGTGATGCACATCCGCCAGGTGCTGGTGAAGGCAGAGCTGGAGAAGTACCAGCAGTACAAGGACATCTACACCGCCCTGAAGAAAGGAAAGGTAGTGCTGCTGCAGGCGGCCAGCAGGAGGGCTGGAGGGCAGGAGGACACCAGGTCCAGGCTTGGCTCCTGGCCTGGCAGGCCTGGCTGCTGGCCGCAGGACTCAGAACCTGGGCATTCAAGGGCAAGATCCATGCTCTTGTGACGGTCCTGTTCTGCCTCTCCCGCAGAGGAAGGGTCTTTGTTCCCTCCTTGGAAGTAAAAATCTGGAAGGTTTAAAGACCACCAGAAAGATAGTGACCTGCCTTCATAACTGTGTTAGTCACTAGACTTGGAAAGGGTCTGTACAGAAATGCCTAAGAGCAGGGGAGTGTTTCAGTATCGTCCTGCAGCAGCTGGGTAAAGCCCTGCCAGGACCACAGGCCTTCTGGATTCCCCTCCTGTCTATGAAACCTGCCCAGCCTGCGGGGCTGGCGGGGCAGCTGTCAACCCTGCTTCTTTTCTCTGATTTTGTGTTTTTTAGCTCTGCTTCTGTTGCCGAACCCGGAGGTTTTCCTTCTTCACCTGGTCTTACACCTGCCAGTTCTGTAAGAGGTAAGGTAACCTGGAATTGATGAAAAGATAAGATCAGCAGTCATGAAAGAAATGACCATCACCTCCACTGTTTCTGCGTTCTTGGCCCAGGATATTAGGAATGGCCCCTTCTGCCCTTGTCCCTTGTGCCATCCCTGCCAGTTAGAATTATCTGTTTCCCATGAAGGATAGGCTGGACAGTGACTTGGTATTGAACTGKGAAACTGTTGGCTCATTATTTCTTTTACATAAGCAAGGTAATTCTAATACTATGTCATGGGGGAATGGGAAAAAAAAAGAAAAAAGAAAAGCAGGTATGGTTGCCATGAGATTCAGGGTAGACTGATAAAAAACTTCCAAAGAGGTATCAATTGGTCTTTTTATGAAAGACAAAGTAGGAGTTCAGCATTCCAGGTGCCACTTTGGCATCCACACCATTAACTTGTTAGGTTCTGGTAGACGGGCAGTTGACTACAGAGATTCATGGTGGCTGGCCACGAGCTTGGTAGCTCATGGCCTCATCTGTTGTACATCAACTGATATTTCTGGTTTTGTCCGCAGGCCCGTGTGCTCACAGTGCTGCAAAAAGATGCGGCTGCCCTCCAAGCCATACTCCACTCTACCCATCTTTTCTCTGGGACCTTCCACCTTACAAAGAGGGGACAGTACTACCAGGTCAGAAAAGCCCCCAGCAAGCCACCAGTGGCCACTGCGCAGCATCGCCAGGTGAGGGGGGGTTGTGCTCCAGGGGCATGTATTAGCTTCAGTTTTAATAGTTTTGGACTTCCACATGAGTCCCAAATCTCCAAAGTTACCTTTGGGAGGACAATGGCTAGCTACTCTAATAATGTAGTCTATTATTTTTCCTACTTTTGAAATAACTGCTTTATTACGTCTTTTAAAAGTCATCTTTATGGGCTGGGGCTGTGGCTCAGCCGTAGAGCACTCACCTCGCACGTGTGAGACCCTGGGTTCGATCCTCAGCACCACATAAAAATAAATAAGTGAAATGAGGGATTGTGTCCAACTACAACTAAAAAAAACAAATATTTAAGAAAAAAGTCATCTTTAAAACTATTGTCAGTGGAATGAAAAATTGCACGTAACACTCTAATCCTTATTCCCTACCTAAGTTTTGGGGAAAAAAATAAATAAATCTGTTCATTCCTGTGCTACAAGAGTCTGAAACAGCCCTGGGTCACTTAACTATGAAATAAAGCTCTGTGCCCAAAGCTGGCAATTTAAAAGAAAAAAACTCATCCAAGTCTCAGTCATTTTGGATTCAGGGCAGGGCAAGGTTAGTGCTGGTCTTAAAAGAAAAATGGAAGGAGCCGGGCGCAGTGGCACACCTGTCATCCCAGTGGCTTGGGAGGCTGAAGCAGGAGGATGGCGAATTCAAAGCCAGCCTCAGCAAAAAAGGAGGTGCTAAGCAACGCAGTGAGACTTTTCCTCTAAGTAAAATACAAATAGGGCTGAGGATATGGCTCAGTGGTTAAGTGCCCCTGAGTTCAATCCCTGGCACCCCCTGGGCCAAAAAAAGAAAAAAAAAAAAGAAAAGAAAAATGGAAGCAAGAAGGCCAACTCTGGTCATATGGTGGCAGGACAAAGCTAGGCTTAGAGGTGGGCACAGGCCTACTGGCAGAAAGATGACAAATTCAAGGCCAGCCTGGGCAGCTTAGCGAGACTCTATCTCAAAATAAAAAATAGAAAGGGCTGGGCATGTGGCTCAGTGGTTAAGCACTTGTGGGTTCAATCCCCAGTACAAAAAAAAAAAAAAGTAAATGAATAGCTGGTCCCGCAAACATGGCCAAAATGTCTGTGATGATGTTGGTCTAGTTAACACCAAGTTAACTCTGGAATCTAAGTTACCAGTCACCCAAATGTAAAGATGGGGGAGGGGTGGCATATTGATAAATACACAAATGACAGGAGAACTGATCAAAGATAATTTTTCAGAATGTGTCATAGGATGAAGATAAATGTGCTTCAGTTTCCCATAATGGCTGTCTGACCRTAATCTGACCCCTGTGCACCATTTACCAATGTCCTGTGCTCACGACACCGGGTCCCCAGACCCTTGGGAAGAAGTTATTCTTCTAAATCTAGTAGGGTGCTAGAGCAGCGTGCACCCTTGTGTCATTGGCTGTTAAAATCCACCTGTATGTGTGTGGTAACCAGCAGATACCCAGGAGGCTCTGTTCTCTGTTTTCTTTCTTTCTTTTCTTTCCTCCTCCTTTATAATACATACATACATAAATATATATATATATATATATATATTTTTTTTTTTTTTTGGTGTGTCAGGGATTGAGCCCAGGGGCACTTAACCACTGAGCCACTTCCTCAGCCATTTTTTAATAATGTTTTTAGAGACAGGGTCTCACTGAGCTGCTTAGGACCTTGCTGAGTTGCTGAGGCTGGCTTTGAACACGCAGTCCTCCTGCCTCAGCCCCCAGAGTTGCTGGGGTGACAGGTGTGTGCCCAGCTATTTCTGTTCCTTCTTAATGAAACATGTTTCCTGGTTTCTTTACTGAAAAATATTTTTAAATCTGTTTCCAGTGAGAAGTTCCTCTCTGGAAGGACCTGATTAGGCCACTCCCCAGCCCATGTTCTGGCAACAAAAGTTGCTTTTTACCAAAGTCTTCAGTACTACAGTGGAAAAAATAAGAAAGAATATTGAGTGGTTCTGGTTTTTCCCAGGTTCTCCTCAAAGTCTAAGTCTGTGGACAGGTCG